ATTTCGGTTGCAGAATAAGTAGTCGCCGTTAGGTTAATACGTACAATCAACAGTAAGAACGTGTATACAACTGACAAGCGAATACTGTTTCATATGAAGATATCAGCGTGTCAGAAAAGTCAGGCAAACACTGGCGCAAAACTATAAATTTCTTCTGCATGTTTTAGGGTCAATGAATGGATCAGGAAACCAGACCGGCAAACACCAGCACGTGGAACAAAATTCAGAACGGTTTTTACGGAAGAGTCCCTAGAAGACAATCAGCAGTTTGAAATGGACCGAGACAGCCGGGAGCTTCAAATGCGCCAAAATATTGCCGTCATTAAAACCGTCGCCTTTTCCGTGGAAGAAGTCAGACGCGTCCTCAGTCAAATAAAACCTGATAAGTCTCCTGGACCCGACGGAATTCCCGGGCTGATACTTAAGGAGCTATCAACGGAGCTGTCAAAGCCTCTTTCGACTCTCTTTGAGCTGTCAATGAGAACAGGAAGGCTACCCTCACAGTGGAAGACAGCTAACCTCGTTCCATTGCATAAGGGAGGTAGCAGGATGACAGCAAGCAGCTTTCGACCTATTAGCTTAACTTGCCTCCCTTGCAAAACGATGGAAGCTATGGTAAAGAACGCTATACAGCAATTTTGTGAAGAAAATAACATCTTACAGGATTTTCAACATGGCTTCCGGAGAGGACGTTCCTGCCTCTCAAATCTGCTAGCTTGTCTGGAAATCTGGACCAGGGCTCTAGAAGAGGGTTTTGAGGTCGATGTCGTGTACATCGATTTCCGCAAAGCTTTTGACACTGTCCCACACCAACGTCTTCTTCACAAATTGAGCGACATCGGCATCCGGGGAGATCTTCTGAACTGGATTAGGGCGTTTCTGGTTGGTCGGAAACAACGCGTCTGTATCGGGGATGATATGTCAGAATGGATGAATGTGACCAGTGGTGTGCCGCAAGGCTCAGTTCTGGGACCATTGCTCTTCATCCTTTACGTTAACGACAGCCTTCAGGAACTCGTTTGCGGCAAAATAATGTTTGCAGACGACGTTAAGCTCTGGCAAGTCATTAAGGGTCCGACTGATCAGACATCCCTTCAAGATAATCTGCACCGACTGCAAGCGTGGTCGAAGAAATGGCTTCTAGATTTCAATGTGGAGAAGTGTGCCGTCCTTCATCTGCGTCCAACCAACTCTCATTCAAATGAGAGTCTGAGGACTTATCACCTGAAAGATATAAGGCTCCCCGCAGAATCTTCACAGAAGGATCTCGGGGTTTGGATACAGAACAACAAGAAACCAACACTGTAGTGCCACAAGGCTGCAAAAAACGCCATGGGAGTGCTGCGTGCAATAAAAAGGGCTTTCGTAAATTTTGACCAAGACCTTTTTGGGAGAGTTTACGGCACATTTGTTCGGCCCCACTTAGAATATGTCATACAAGCATGGCGGCCATGGCTGGTAAAGGACAAAGAATGCCTCGAACGGGTACAACAGCGTGAAACAAAGCTGGTAAACGGTCTAAAAAGCCATTCCTACACAGACAGACTGAATTGCCTTAATTTATTCCCTCTGTGTTACAGGCAGCAAAGAGGTGACCTTATCCTCGTCTACAAGATAGTATACGGCCTTGAGTATGGACTTAAATTTGAGGGCATGTTTCAGTGGCATCTTTCACCCAATCTTCGTGGTCACTCGATGAAGTTATGGACAACAATGTCCAGGCTGAATCTTCGTTCTGAGTTCTTTACGCAGAGGGTAGTGGAGAAATGGAACGATTTCCCTCAGTCAGTCGTGGAGGCTACATCCATACAACTCTTCAAGAAACGCTTGGAGGATTATTTGTGTCCCCTGTTTTCCCTCGACGGTCTGAATCTGAACTAATACCCCTGGTCCCCACAAATATTTCCTCTGAGACAATGCTACTCAAATGAACCAAGTACTGTTTTTATAGTGAATATTTTTTGTTCGTGTACAGTTATTTCTAACGAGCTGACATGTAATCAATAGGGTTTTCAAGGGCTTTGTCTATTATCCTTACCAAATAAACTGAATAAACTAAACTGAGCGCATAAAAAGGTATGTACGGTCGCAGGCAGTTATTGAGCACCGTCAGGAGAACCGTATCATCGTGCGTCAAATGCATTGCATCTGTGGAAAATCAGTGCATGGACATACTTGTGGTGTTGCCTCGAGCGGCTGGTTCCCCAAAGGTGTCTGTGCTAGCTGAGTAGTTGTCGTCGATCTTAGTATTACTGGCTCCTTTCACTCAAACGACATATTTTTCCCAACCACATTCGCCTAGAAGATAGTTAGGTTGCATTCGCCATTCTTCAGTATCAATGTTAATTCCGAGACAAGTTCCGGGCGTTTCAGCCGTCCGCTGTGGAGTAGTACGGTTGGAAAATTCTGTTTATGTGGGTTTCTGGGGTTGGCTTTTTGAGAGGATCAATTTGAATTGCTATTTGCTCTCCAGCATACTTTTGAGAGGACGAGGTGGTAGTATTGCTGTCCTGCCTTCACTCTTTTTTCCTACCCGGAATGCTTTCAGGACTTTTAATTCCATGTCCGCCAGGATAAATTGGTTTAGTGACCAAGAAAAGACGCTAGATCCTTCGAGATACGGTCTTCAGGTCTGACTGTATTCGGTTTAGACGAGCCTGAACAACCAGACACTGTTGGCGGTCACGGTGTTTTTTATTTCGTCTTTCCGGTGCATTCTCCGAATGAGGACGAGGATAATTTACGGGGTCCTCGCTTGGATGCACGCTGTTTCTGTCGACTGACTGTTCCGAGCAACCCGTGAGGGCTGGTTGTGAGTTGAGACTCTCATTACGGCGTTTTAATACCCCCTACCTACGAGTTCCTGTCGCCGCATTCAAATATGTGCTCTGTAGGACACTCGGGAGGGTCGCGAGAACAAGAGAACAATGGTAGACTGGGGACCTAACTATATCGTCCATTGGCAAAAAAGAAATCCCGTCACTTTAAGCAAGAGGAGTAGGTGAGATGGCTCTCGCGACAGGTAATATTTTTGTGACATCGCTTGGGTCGTTTTGCGTCATAATCGAGTCTGTCCATATCGGCAGCCTTATTATCGTTGTCCTGCTGTTATCGATACCCGCGTCTGGGCATACGGGGTTGTTCCCCCTTTTTGGAAATTCTTCCGAGACTATATTATTTCGCGCTTTTTACGCTTTGCTCTTAGTTTTTGTGAGCTCTAACACTGGCAGCCTTCCGGTCGTTAAGGTTCTGCTGTACGAGCGTCCTTAAGTTAGCAAGCTCTTTGGGGGCGGCACGTAAATTTTTATTGCGCGCATCTCCACAGATCTTTTTAGGGAAGCAATTACTCAGAAGGCGACGTTCAATTGCAGACGACCTGGCAACAAGCACTCTGCCGACTTATATCATCAGATAGTTCTGGGTAGGACTTTCTTCGTGTGGGCACTTACCGCCTATAATGTGAATTCTTTTCAACAATGAAGTAAGCACCAATGGTTCGATCGGCAACAGTTGGAGAAGGCTTTTAAAAACGTCTTCATGAATGCGCACGTCCGCCTATAGAAAGGGGTGTAGAGAGCCGCATCGAGCCAAATCGCTGACGGCAATTCTTAGTAAGTGCGCCGAATAATTTAGAATAATAGCTGCAACGGCAATATCTTTCTATCTGTCTTTGTGCAAACTGAAAAAATGTCCCATATTTACATGCTTGTACTCCCATACTTTATAGGAATGCAGCTCATCGGCCCAAGGACATACTGCACATGCGGAGCCCTAGTGACTGGCGTTATAGTTTTTTCATTAAATGCACGGAAACTTTTGATAATGTATCCGTTGTTTACTGTAAAAATCCGATGACTGTTCTCAATCTTCTTATGAATGTACTGCTGGTACTTTAAATGGCTTACCCGGGTGAGGGAGTTAACATACGATGGGCAGGACCGGCTACATACAAAGAAAGGTGGTCTCCGTTCGGCTGGAAAGTGGGCTTCAATTTTTCTGACTCAACTAAAACCGAAATTTGCCTGTTAGGCAGAACTGGGCCAAAATCGATTATTTAAAAAATGCTGCAAAGTGGACGCATATCCGCAAGCGATTCGTACGAGAGATAACGAGAGTTTGGATGGGGAGGGCGCTAAAAATTCAGCTCTTCTATTAGATAAATGTCTTATACCATACTTCGACATAAGTAATTGCTAAAGGACCATACACGTGTTTCGCCGATATCCTATCGCTGCGTAACACAGATGTGAGTGGTTCGGCTCCTCGGTGAATAGGCATAGCGGGGTCATTCCACAGCTGTTAATTGCCTTCAACTCGAATGTTCACTAAAATTTCGGGTCTGACTCCAAAAAGTCATGGTCCGGAGATCTGCCTTTATGGCTTAAACTGAATAGTTTCAGAAAATATTTGCTTGATCCGTCTATCAGAGTTATGAAGGTCAAGTCGAAACCCCTCCAAACGTTGCGGCCTTTCTATCTGTCACCTTGCTTCTACCTCCCTTTGCAGGGATCTTGGTCGCCTTTTAAGTTCTGGTGTACAATTTAACATAAGCGAAGCTTTTAACAAAAGTGAAATAAGATAGTCAGAAGTTCGATTTCCTGGCTAACTCCACTTTATTGATCTCTACTTATCACAACTGAACCCAAAACCGATAAACTAAGCGTTTATTGGTTATGGTTATTTATATTGGATGGAGCACTTTTTTGAAAACCAGGAATTTGAGCGACAATCTGATATTATTTTATTGTGCTGTTTGGTTCAAACGCCTCTATAGTCCTATAATATTAAATGTACTTTATTTTTCCAAATAGGTTGGCAAAATTCACATGTGTTTGAAACAGACAGATGACTGTTAGTAGTAGTAGCGAAAATGCGGCAGATGATTGCAGTACTGCAAGTACTGTGTTGTTGACGTCAACAACACATGTGTTGCTTTGTCAGATCTCCGGGATGTAACATAGATTACATGTGTACATTATGCTTATGTCATGTTCAAAACACTGGGGTCGCGGAAATGCCCGAGACGACGAAATTAGCAGAGTCTACTTTTTGCGATTTCCAATCAACATAAATAACAAAGGTTCCCATTCCGTCCTATTAACACTCTTTTAAAATATTCACCAGTAGTTTCCCCTCTCGACACTTTTTTAAGTGTAGCAAGCGGACTAGGAGACAGTGCGCGTTCACATTTTTTATCTAGGCGTTGACGTAAAAGTTCCAATGTAAGTCTACGCCCGGAATTTAAATTCTTAATTAGAGTGCGCAAGTTTACACTGTTTTATTTCTTTGCAAATCTTAACGCAACCACCAGGATGTCATGGACACAACTGATGTCTGTAAGCATGGGCAGAACTTGATAAATAAGATGATAAAGCCAACCAAACATTTTGTGAAATGTATGAAATATATACATATATATTTCCATCAGGCATTGTAATGGGCTTAGTTATAAAGCTAACCTCATACGTTAAGCATAAGCAGAAGGCAAACTATGAAGCTTCTCTTAGAATACTAGTATTCTCAGAGAATGGATTTGTTTACAAAAAACCACCTAGATACCCATTACGTACGCAGCTGTAATCAACAGTATTATCAACAGCATAAACTTTCGAATGATAATTGGGAACCTTGTTATTTGTAACAGCTGTTTTAAATTATGGGAATAGTAGTATTCCCATAATTTACAAATAAAAATGTTCCAGCTGATGAATTACGCTTATTCGCAACAAATAAAAAGCGACTAATACTATTTCTACATCTCGTTTCCCAGGCGCTATATCCACAATACAAACGTTTCACTAGTACTGCAAAATGAACCGGTCGGTGAATCTTGGCTACGGTTTTTTAAAGATGAACGCTAATTGACATGCGATTAACCGAATATAAATGGTTTAGTTCAAAATAATTTATAAAAAGCATGTAGAAGTTGTGATCAGACGCAACATTATGAGGGATAAGAAACAGATAGAGCAAATCGGAGCTAAAGAACTGTTACTGTATTACCCTTAACGACAGTAGCCCGAATAGAGATATAAAGCACATAACGCTGCTTAAACACTAACAGGAACGGGCACATATGCACATCAGAGTTTGTGATGTCCAAATCGGAGTTTATATTAAGAAATATGATGACGGCTGTTTTGAGATGACCTAGGCAATAGAGTCTTCTTAGATGGTTTGTCTTATTGCATTGGCTGAAACCCCAAACAAAAGCTGCCGCGCACCGTTCCGTACATGACCGATTCATCGTATGCCGTTTACGTCTTTTTGTAAATTGATTTCCTGCCAAAACAGTTAAGATCAGGAAG